TGTTTAGTTCATCCTTCGATGCCGTCTTTATATCCTCAATCGTGGCAAAACGCCGTCCTTTCATGGGCCTCTTCAGTTTTGGGAACAAGAACAAGGCACAGGGGGCCAGATCTGGGGAATACGGTGCCTGTGGCATCGTTACTGTGTTGGTTTTAGCCAAAAATTCGCGCACAAGCAACGATGTGTGAGCAGAGGCGTTATCATGGTGCAAAAGCCAATTTTTATTTTTCCACAAATTCGGACGTTTCTGGCGGATTGCTTCGCGCAAATTGCGCATAACTTGCAGGTAATATTCCTTATTTACTGTTCTACCCTGTGGCAAGAACTCATGATGAACCACGCCCCTGCAGTCAAAGAAAACTGTAAGCAAAACCTTTACATTTGATCGAACTTGGCGTGCTTTTTTTGGTCTTGGTGATCCAGAATGCCTCCACTGGGACGATTGAGTCTTAGTCTCGACGTCATAACCGTATACCCATGTTTCGTCACCTGTTATAACCCTGTTAAGTAAATCTGGATCATCGTTGACGTCATTCAGTAGCTCTTGGGCGATGCTCATGCGACGTTTCTTTTGGTCGAAATTGAGCAATTTCGGAACAAACTTCGCTGACACACGTCTCATGTCTAAAACACTCGTCAAAATTGATTAGAACGAACCAAATGAGATGCCAATATCATCAGCAATTTCTCTAATGGTAATTCGACGATTTCCCAACACTATTTTCTTCACTTCTTCAACATTCTCATCAGTTGTTGATGTGCTGGGGCGTCCAGAACGAGGTTCGTCGTCGGTGTCTTCTCGGCCTTCTTGGAAGAGTTTATACCACTTGTAAACATTTTTTTGGCTTAAAGTAGACTCACCGTATGCCACTTTCAGCATTTCAAGTGTTTTGGAACATTTGATTCCATTTTTCACACAAAATTTAATACAAACTCTTTGATCCATGTTTTTAGACAGCAGCAAATCGTGGAGCACGCAAAACACTTCTAACCTTGATGCCTCTCACAAACAAACCAAACATACTACAAAGCTGAAATTTGGAACGTATGTTCTAGACGAGTGTACCGACATAACCAAATAAAAAAGTCGAAGATCGAACGGACGTAGCCCGCTAAATTTCAAAATTCACCTTACTTTTTGATCATACCTCGTATACATAAGATGCAACTTTTCCGAAAAATTTTTTTTTTTATAACAATATCAAGCAAACGATCTTTTTTCAGATCAAAAACCCTTGCTACTAAATCTGGTCTGTCAGCTGCTTGCTGTCCTGGTAACAGATTTTCTGATATTTCTGGCCACTTTGGGTTACATGTCATTGTTAAAAAGATATCAGGTTTTCCTGTTTCATTCACAATAGCCATGGCATCTTGGTAACATTGTTGCATATACCGAGGTGACCCAATAAATGATGAAGGAAGGATGACAGTTTTACCTACATGACCATCCACGTCATTAGCACAGTTTCTCATATGGTCGTGTGACCCTTTATAAGTATCAGCTCGTATTTCTTTTTGATGATTCTTATTATATTCAATTCTATCTTTTTCTATTTTCACATAACTATCTACTACCCATTGTTGAAATAGCCGACGCCCTCTTATGATAGGATTGAATTCATGTTCCCTAATGGCTATTCGATATTTTGTGTAATCCAAACGTGTAACTCGACGTATTTTACCCGGATTTTGATTGATGCGCATAATATTACGATGCTAACCTCTTGAACCATATGGATAAAATAAAGGATAAATCCATGGCTCCACATTTGGATCCATTGAACTAATGCATTGCAATGTTTTAGTATTTTTATTTCTAATTGTTATGTATGATTCTGGAATTTCCCCATCAGCAGTTGTTGAGAATATTGCAGCAACTTCATTGACTCGTTGAACATTATATCGACGACAGTCCTGACCAGGCTTCAAAGAGAATAGCAATTGCAATTCAGTTTGTGGTGAAATATTATGCATCTGTGACGTCAATTCCTGTAGGTGTATTTCATCTTTCATCATTTCGTAAGATTTCGCGTAAATGTTGTCGTTACGAATTATAGTATCTAACATAGACATTAGTTCATAATCTACAACGGGATTTTGTTGCATTCGATAATTTAAAGCTTCCTGATGGTCAATTATAAATAGTTGTCCATATGAAGGATTTTCGTCTTGTGTAGGATATAACGCTGTATTTATTTGATAATAAATCTGACCATGAATTTTGAAACAGAATGGGCCAGGTCGACGTGCTTGAAAATTAACCAAATTAGCATTAAATGAAGCGAAAGATAATGAATTATTATAATTACGAATACGTTCAAAGAAAATTGACGATTTTGCATGTGTTCCATCAAATAAACTAAAAAGTTCAGTTTGAAGATCAGGTAATGAATCTAATTTTACACATCCATGACTACAACAATCATTGAAAGATAAACCTTTATTAGAAACTTTTTCACCCTCAAAATGTTTAGCATTACATTTTTCACATAAAACATTCATTGGTCCCAAATAATCTTTTTGAATTGTTTGCTCCAAAGACCTATTATTATCGTGAATTCGTTGGCGAGCAAGTTGTCGTCTACCCCGTCGACCTTCTGTTTCTCATATTCGTCTATTTTTCTGAAAAATAGCAGCTTCTTCTGCAGTTCTTCTTCGTCGACCCATCGTGTGAAATGTACCAAGTACTTATTATATTAAAAAAGTAAATTCAATGAAAAATGTCTCAATAAATTAATAGGTTAATATAACAAATAGTGTGAACGCATCATGAATAATTTTAATATCCAAAAGTCATGATTAATTAATTTGATAATTACAGTTACGTTCAAGTAAAATAAAAGTAGGTAGAAGTTTTTTTGCTGTGGGTATTATTTGTTTGCGTATAATTTAGCTTTGGTATGGTAAGATTGGTTTGGTTTTGGGCTAGCGTTAGTTTGCTTTTGTTGGGTATGGTATGATTTGGGTTGGTTTCAATTGATTATATAATGTTCTATCAAATTAGTAACTTTTTATTGCTATATCTTTTTATTATAAAAAATATGTTTGAAAGAAAATGTTATATTCACCAAGGATTTAAATATTTAGATCAGCGTTAACCTGAAAAAAAAATAATAATTAGAAAAGAGATTCATGTGGCACGAATAATAAATGAATGCTGCTTAGTATTGTTTATACACACCTAAACTTTCTGTGTGCAAATTATGAAGACTAAATATGGCAGCATACAGATTTAATTAAAGGTCAGTCAAACAAAATGCCATTTGGTTGTTGCTATTCCCTCTAAAACAGTTGTAATCAAAATTCATTTATCAGTGCATATTGTGCGTTATGAATTTAAGATAATGAAATGGATGTATCGACAAAAGATTGAATCTTTTAAATAGAAAACATAATTATATAATATAGATTCAAAAACAAAAAATTTTTATCCAAGATGTTACTCTGTAAAATAAATCATCGTATAACAAAAATTCATCGTGACTTGTATATGATAACGTAATGGAATAGATCTTTAAACATCAACGAAGAACAAAAAATCTGAAAAATTATATGTCTTATTCTATTTTCGTTGATTTTTTTGTTAGAGTAACTAATATACAGCAAAGAATCTTGGAACTAATATCAGTTAGTTATTTGTTCACATTTTATTTATCTATAAAAAAAATCTACACACCTTATTTATTGTGACTTTACGTGTGTGGTTGATGGAAGTATGCAGATGAAAAACAAAATACTAATTACAGTTTGTACCATCAATTGTATACTGTCTTCAATAAGTTTCTGAAATAATAGTAATAAAATTTAATGATAACATTATTATCTTACAATGCCTTACAATGTAATTATCATTTCTCATGATTTATAATTTATATCGTGATTTAATATTAAAATATTGTACAATATATAAATATAATACAACTCACGTTTATTGAAAAATCTTATGCAATCTATACTTGGCAATTACTTATGAATTGATCTTTTAATATAGTGTATTTTCTGTCTTCTACTATTTTTTTTACATAAAAAATAAAACAATTCACTGATTTTAATAGCACGTTTTTTGCACAATTTTTTAGGTTAAAACAATGACACGCTTGTTACACATCGAACTGTGAGATAGTCAGTGTGACACGAAAAAAGCTCAAAAATTCAAATATATTTGTGTTTTGATATTTTGTTACTGTGAATTAATTTTAATCAAAACTAAAGTATTAATGTAACCGTATAATTTTATAAAACGAACAGCATAAAAAAAGATGTTAGTAAGTATGAGAATAGTTACATCATTGTGATTGTAATAATTGTTGAAAAGAATTCTTCAATAATGGCAAATTTTCTAGGAATCCTTTCGAATCTGTATGATTAAATTATTGGAGCATGAAAAAGAAATAGTTATCTAAATCATGCTTCTAATTCTAAATGAACTCATTTTAATTATTGACACCACCATTTCAGTCTTAGAAAGCTTTGATACTTTGAATAAACGTTAATCAGGAAAAATAAGTGGGAAATAGGAATTGTTAAGGAGTGAGGTGGGTCGAGACATTATCAGAAAATATACAAAAGTGGAAAACTTTATTATGTTTCACAAACGAACATTTTGTACGGCAGGTTTCAACATTAAATCTTAATGGAATAAGTATATATACATCGTAATTTATAATAATACGTATGAATCTAACGAGTTCTTCATATAAGTGACGCTTACAGATTATTTAATGTATATCACATTTTCATGAATAAATAAACACATTACAGAGTATTTATTTGTTAAATTACGTAATATTTAGAATCGTAAGTACAGCTGAGTATTATTTTTCTGTTGAAGCTACATAACATGAAATACTTAAAATCACAAATCACATTTAAAGCACTTTTTTATTTATGTATTTTTATATATTTAACTATAAAAATATACTTAACACAATATTTGCATTCATAATGATAACTATATGTACATAAATTATTGTATGTGTATATTTACAATATTTCACAATCACACAATAAGTTACATATACTATATAATATTTTGTTCCAACCTACCAGTAATAATAATATGTTCATATAGTTGCCAGTTTTTGAATGATTATACGGAACAATAAATATCAATGTTAAATATTGTGTTTTTGGTCACTACGAATTATTATTAACTCTGCTACTTTTATCAAGAATTACACATAATGTTATATGTCATAAAATTATTCAATCAATTATATGAAATAACTATTTATAATAATACTATGAACTGTGCTATCTCAACGTTTTTCTTTACATCAATAATAACTATATCTTAACACTCAGTTCAATTACAAATTTTTATGTAATAATACACAAACTGTTATCTCAACTTTTCTCCATCTTACTTATCAATGTAATATTCCTTTCTACTTTAAAATGACTTTATTGACCAGTTTGAATTTGGAAAAAAATTAAAAGTATTTAAGAAGTACTTAGCAAGTTTTATCAAGTTTTAAAACAAAAATTTTTAAAAGTATTTTAAACAACTTCAAGTGAACATAAAGTACGTAGTATATTCATAAGTATTGAAACATTTAGTAAACTACGTAGAAAATAGAAATGACAGATAGAACTAAACATTATACCTGCGTACACATGAACTTAATCAACTACTCGTGTCCTCTCTTTGGAGATTTCACTCCTCGAGCCAAAGCCACAGGATCCATCGCTATAGCATCAGGTATCTGAACTATAGCAAAATCATCTCTGCATACAATGACTACAGGACCAGCTGAAAATAACATTCACATATAAAATATTTGAAAAGTATATGATATATTAAATACAATAAAAATAAAAAATTACTGGTATCATCAACTTCTCCGATGACTGCAATCTTAGTTCCTTTTTCGATATCCAAACCTGTATAATTTCTAATATGGACTGTAACTTTCAAAGATCCATCAGTGATGGAACCACAGCCATAATACTCCTGTTTATATTTGTGTAGGCATTTCACAAATTTCATTTTAAGATAGCCTTGAATTGCTAAAAAAAATTGAATAACCAGGTCATCATTGAAGAAAGAATTATACACATTTCAAAGCACCTAATATTAAAATTAAAAAGAAATAAATTATATTACACTTACATATCAAACCATGGACTTTTCCAACATTGCTAAAATCAACATGTTGCACTTCAGCGTGATTAATAGGTCTGTGCTCAGGAATCACATGCTGACCCAAATTTTGAACAGTTGTCGAGTCCTTGATCAATATTTCGAAAGGTACCAAATTATTATTATTCTCTTTTACGTAGGTTGAAGTTTTTGTTACTCCTCCCTCAATGTGTATAATCTAAAAAAAAATAAAAATGTTATAGTCATTATTTCTACATTTGGAAATAAAATAGATTCTATTTAAGTAACTTACCTCTCCAACTTGCACTTTTCCAACATGTTTTTCAATCAACGTTTTTCCCCAAATCAAACAAACAATACGCTTCGTTTCTCCATTGTTCAAAACGAATTTGAACAGATCGTACTTGACTTTTGCTCCAACAACAGCTGGGGCATGCAGTTCATCAACATAACCGACAATCTCCCTGTAACACGCATAAAAATTGACATTAAATATTATTATCACATAATAATAATTAATACACGATGTACATTATGAATAAAAAATTGTCATATTTCAAATTCAACAATTATAGTAAAAGTAGAAAAAAAAGTACGTAGTTTCATCTTTGTCGTGGAGCTCGTTGAAATCTTCATCAGGAGTGAAACTCGCAGCTTGAGTTTGGTTAGCACCTTCAGCCATGATTGCCTTTTTTCTTCTGAAAAAAACCTGTGAAATGAAAAAACGTGACGTTATTATTATAATGATGGAGTACTCATTGAAAAATAATGCTAAAATATGTGTTTTTTAATTTCAAATTTTGCAACAGTTAATCATAAAAAAATTAACACATGATTCATCATTTCCTCAATTGAGATAATAGTTTATCAATAATATCTCGCGTTTGAAAGCAGATCTAGAATACGTAATATCGTAATGTAAAAACACAGAGAACGACAAAAAAGGACCAAATATTTCCGGTAAAAAGAAAAAAGAATTTAGCACGTGGTTAACCACGACGATAGTTAACTTTTTTTCATTAAATATTTATTCAATCGCGTAAACTCTAAATGAACTTGAAAAGAAAAACAAAGAGAAAACGATAAAAAAGACTAAAAAGAAATTAGCATGTGGTTTTTCAATTAATTTAACCTGAACGAATGACAACTTTTTTGATTTGAAGGTTCAATTTAATAAAAGTATTATAATAAATAAATAAACCTTAATAGAGATTAATTATGCGATAAACTTACCTGATTAACTTTAAGAAGTTTTGCAAAAACTATTTTGCCGTGAATGTTACAGGATATTGAACACGACCGAACGATCGAAACAAGTCAATCTATAATGAAGTCGATCTGCATTTAGCGCTATCTGGATTTCACCCATCAAATGCGTGACACTGCATGTGTCATTATATACCACATGACCATCTCTCAGCCAATCAGATCACAAACACGACTTATATATTCACACAGGACAGAAACACGACTTATATATTCACACAGGACAGACACGACAACACGTGACCACCTCTCAACCAATGAGATCACGAATAAACTGCCTTCACTCAACAGGCCATCACTTTTTTAAGAGAGGATGCTATGAATGACATGGTTAGATTGACGCTATACCTTATCCAGTTTTGGCATAGGCCTAAATGGGTATCCAGTTCTGGATTGGAAATCAACCATTTTATTAAAAATTATTAAAAATGATTGAAGTTCAATCCATTTCAATAACTTCCAAATGATCATTTTAAGCAGAGGAGCCCATGAATATATGCAATTTGCCCTGAGTAGAGTAGAGTTATAATTGTTCATAAGGGTCTAAAGTGAACTTAAATGACTGAAATTGACGATTTTCAAAAATGTATAACTTTGAAAATATGAAAAAACTTCGAAGAGATTTTAGTTTTCAATTATTCCGTAGAATCAATTAAAACAATGAGTTTGTAAAAAAATCAACATTTTTTACTATTTTTTTAATCACTTTTTATAAACAATTATAAATGGCAAAAGAAAAAACAAAATTACGTTTTTTGGATATGCCATAAATGGCAGTTTCAGCACGAACGTTAATGTATTAAAATTAATTCTAAAAACGTTCATAATTTATATTCACTGTTGCCACCGGGAATATGGAAAATTACAGTGCACATATATAACTTTCTGTATAGATCATTACTAAATTCTTTTTATAATTCTAAATAACTTTCTGTCGCTACGAATAATTTTCAATAGTTATTAATAAGTTTTTATAATCTTTAATAACGTTTTATCAGCTAAATAAATAATAATTAATTAATATCAATTGTTTTTAGTGCATTCGATATTCGTATATGTATGTATAGCAAAGTATTTTAAGTATGTATAAGTATGTAGTAAGTTTCATGATAAATTGGTAGAGATTTTCGTTGATTTTTGTCATGAAATCGAGTACCACGACTAGTTGTTCAAAATTACAAAATTTTTTAAAAATTTTAATTGTTCATAACGATTTTGCACTAACAAAATTTTTCCATAGTATTGATTAATGCAAAGATTGTCGAAAAAGTAAAAATGTTTGACTATTCGTTCAAATAACTTTTTATAAAGAATTCCATATGACAAAATGATGGATATTTGCGTTTAACAAATAAATGACAAGAGGACTTCCTTTCTTAGAATAGGACATATTTACAAAACCCTTTTTTAGTTCAAATAAAATATTTTTTACAAAATTGGTTCAAATAATAGATTTTCAACTAGAAGACATATAGGCAATTTTAGACAAATAAATTTTATATTATTCGTCACGAGCACCATTGAAATAAATATACTAATTTCGATGCAGCGCATTTACTACAATTATTTTTTACAATTACTATTATTTTGTTGTGATGATCAGTATTAAAAAATATATTGCAAATGACTGGAATTAATAGCTATAAATATCGATGAATAATTAACGTCCAACGGATGAAAAAGAAAGATTTCATAATCTTTTCATACTACTAGATTATTTGAAACATATAACATTCTTGTATTTTCTTGTACTTATAATTTGAACAATTAAATTAAATTGCAATTGCGTCATTTTTATGTGTTAATTTTTTTACCGGTTTAATCACAAAAAATTAATGTAAAAGACTAATTTAAATTTTAATATAAGGATCTGTATTCATTAATAATAATATAGTCAAATGTACTAGTAACTGGTTTTTGTTGCTTCTGTATTCGTTGCTCGCATCTTCTTCTACCGACTAACATCACTTGGTTTGTAGTTTAAATCCAAAGGTAATTTATATCTTTCAGAAGGTATTGTTTTTTTCTAATCTTCTGTACTGCTATTGCTACTACTACTGCTACTGCAACTTTCCATATTATTATTAGCAGTTATAATGATACCTGAAGTACGTTATTTTTTTCAAATTACTAAATAAAGTATATAATGCAACGGTAGTCGTTTCAATTAATCGAACCGTTCGCGATTCGGGATTTTCGCGCATTAGTTCTAAGTATTGAGAGAGAGAGGGGGCGCGCGATCTTTTGAATTAGCAGTTAAGCCTCAGCTGTTACTTGTGTAGTACCGCCAAAATAGTTTAGCACAGTAATTGCACCGCAGGGTAGGTGCACCTCCCTTAATTATCGCGTGACAAAATACATTTGGTATTTTGTCCAACTGTGTTAGCGTTAATTTTTTGTATTCGCGTCGAGCGTTAGATCGCGCCAATATTCGTATCTTCTCTCTCTCTCTTTCTCACCGAAAGTTATTTAATTGTAAATCCTATTCGCGTGCGTCAGTCTTTCGGCCCGACAAAGACTGTAGAGATTTTTTATTAATAAAATCTATTAAACTTATTCGCCTATTTCGTCATATAATTTTTCCTAATAGTTTAAACAATTGAAAAAGGCTTAGATTTTAATCCGATTACAGCTAGGGGATTGAGTGGATTAGGAGCAAAGTCGATTACACTTAAAACTTATCGAGTATCACAAGGCACGTGACTTAACCTATTAACGTCCAAAATGTCAAAATTTCTTGCACGTTTTCAAAGTGATTTTTTCCTATGTAATTGGCGTTGAAAAAATTCTTGAACCACATATTCTGATGTAAAATTGCATGCTCTTTCAGAATCCGTTGCCAGAATCATGATAAAACTCACAGAAAAAGAGATATGCTCGATTGAAACATAAAAAATACCTAAATTTTCGAAAAAAATTTTTAGGATTTTTTTTCGAAGTGTTACGGTGAAGATATCACCTTGTGACCGTGATCAAAGGTGATCATGGGATTTGAAGTTTAACAGAGAATTTTTTTGTTTACCTTGAACCATCGCTTCTTTACAAAATGGCGGAAAAAACGAATTTTTTTTTTTCAATCTTCATCAATTTTTTTCTCACAATCTATGGACTTTAGAAAAAAATTCATAAGAACAAAAATTCCTTAGAATCGCTTAAGGAATATTGTCAAATTTTTTCAGAATTTTTTGAGACATTTTTGAAAATCCCATTTCCCAAGTTTCCCAGAAAATCAAAAATTGTCTTAAAAAATTCTGAAAAAATTTGAGAATGTTCCTCGAGTGATTCTGAGACATTTTTGTTTTTGTGAATTTTTCTCTAAAGTCCATAGATTTTGAAAACAAAATTGATAAAGTCGAAACAATAAAAATTCGTTTCGGCCGATGTTTTGAAAACCTATTGGTAAAAAAACGTTCTGTCTACGAAAATTCGGAAAAAATTTTAATATTGCTCGAATGATTCTAACTTATTTTCATTCTTTTTTCAAAGACTTATAGATTCCGACAAAAATTTCATCCTTTATTTCCATTTCATTTCGGCAGATAAGCGTAATTTTTGGTCTCATGTATTCATGAATATTCGTCTTTTTTTGTTCTCTTCTTTCGTGTTTTTGTACATACGGATGAGTGATAAATAAACGAAATCATTAATTTCATACATTATGTCGCGGAAACGTGTAAGATCTTCTGAATATGAATCAGATTCTTCAGATAGTGATTCATAACGCAACGTATTGATTCCGGATCCTGACTATTCAGGTTCCGATGATTCTGGTTCCGATTTTGATTCAGATTGCGAACATGAAATACCCAATATCACTTACAATAAAGCTCGTGCAAATTATTCTGAAAAACAAGATAAACTTGAAAAAGGTCATGAATTCACTTGGATTGAGGGTGAAAAGTTACACCCTGATTCTTGTGAAGATAAAGTATTATTGTCCGAATCGCAAAAAAAGAAAATACGTAGGAGCGAACCTTTTCAATTGTTTGAAACCTTTTTTTCTATTGAAATGAAAAAATATATTATTGATGCGTGTAAAGACAATGGTTATGATCTGAAATTGAAAGATCTTGATACTTTTATTGGAATAGTTATTTTTTCTACATTCAATCCCAGAAAATCACAGAGAGATTACTGGTCATCTGATCCGTATTTATCTAATGAAGTAGTTTCTTCTGCAATGTCTCGCCAACAATTTGAAATCACAAAATCTAAATTGAAGATTTCAAAAAACAAAGACAAAGATTCAAATGATCGAGGATGGCGCGTTCGTTCTCTACTGAAACTTTTTCAAAATAACATCATGAAATTCGGAATATGGAGAACTGCTCTATCCGTTGATGAGATGATGGCCAAATCCTATTCAAAAACTGTTTTGAAACAATTTATTCGAGGAAAACCGATAAGATTTGGTTTGAAATTTTGGGGCTTGTGTACTTCGGACGGCTATCTACTGAATTTGGATCTTTATTGCGGCAAGAATTCTCAAATTGGAGATAAGTTATCTAAATGTGCTTTAGGTTCACGAGTAGTATTATATTTATTACAACCATTTTTTCAAATAATAAGTTATAACAAAATTTCTCAATTTCATCTGTACTTTGACAACTTCTTCACGAATATGGATTTGGTATTACATTTGAAGAAATTGCGTTTGAAATGCACTGGTACTATCAGAGATAATCGAGTCAAAGAAAAAAATGTGCTTGATAAGAAAGCTCCAAGAGGGACATATGTGGTGAAGCACGACGTAAACAGTGGCATAAATTTCATTACTATCATGGATTCGAAGCCCGTCTCAATAGCTTCAACTGCAGCAGGTGTCAATCCTCTATCTATTTCAAAAAGATACAGCGCAGAGGTTAAATCTAAAATTGAAATACCTTTTCCGCAAGCTTTTCACCTATATAACAAATTCATGGGAGGTGTTGACCTGCATGACGGACATTGCAATGACATACTCCCAAGTATACGATTAAAAAAATGGACATTGGTAGTTTATATGAGACTTATACAGGCGTCTATTAC